CTTCTATACAACGAAAGGAGACTGCGACCACACAAAAGGCCACACCATCTTGGTCTTCATACCTACGATTGAAATATTTTAATTGTTTGCGACCACTGAACCTCAGATAAGCTGTATGAGTCTTTAATTATTTGTCATAGAGCATATCCTTATATTTGCAAACTCATACAACACGAACAAGCAATATCTTGGTACGCTTCTGAGTCATTATACTGATGGTCCTTCCTAATGATTAGGCTTTTGATAAAGCGGAAGACGGTAAATAATTCAATATGTTTTTGCTGTTATAGACGAATATGATATGCACAGATAATCCAACTTATGATTTTCTTAGGGGTATTTCTAGAAATAATCGTCACCCTGAACACATACTCAATAAGCAAAGTTAAATTCTATATTGGATAAGCTTTTTAATTCGTATAGCATGAGCATATCCCGTTCATAATCGAAATTGTGATTAGGACTGCCACTACTCATAACATGGATTCTCAAATGTGATGTTTCCAGCCAGCTTTAACCAATGAAATCTACTAAAATACTCTAATTACGTAATATTGCATGAAACCACCGGATGAATTTCAGAAAAAGTAAAGAAAAATTAAAATTTCTTTCTTGGTAAGAAGAAATAGCAAATGCTAAAGTGCGGATGTAATTTTCGACTGTGTTTTACCTACGAGTTGCAAGGACTTTTTTGCTACAACTTAGTTAATCTGAAGAAGTATCAATCTTATGAAGTCATATGCATTCCGGGTACATAGATTGACTGACTTATCTGAGACTGAAACAAATGACACTAATATAATATAATATTAATATAATACTGTAGAGAGGGTACGGTGGAGATGATAATGAGGATAACTGGGTGATGGGTGATGGAGAAAGATGCCTAAGCATGAAAATCACAGGTTTTAAATCCTAGAATATCACTTAAACACTGACCTTAATTAAAGGTTAATTGGCAGCCAGACAATGATGTTTATGTGTAACAGTCAATAATTGACAAGCAGAGTGGAGGGGGGCTGAATAAAAGCCAGAATCCATGTAAATGGCTTCTGAAACCGGTGGTGAATGTGATTAGTATAATATATTGTTACCAAATTAACGTTTCGGAAAGATAATCATCATAGTTGGCATCGTCATTGATATGCACCATCGGTAGCACGGTTTTAGAACTTATCAAAATGACAAATGAATGCAATCCACTTGACCACTTTTCTGTTCAGCAGTTGTAACATTATTCCTCGCCCCTAGTGCTGAGTCTATTTCTTTCGACCCCTCTTCATAACGCCCCTTTACCTATTCATACCATCCTATGTTCTCATTTCCTCTACTGTCACTTACAAGTGTGTCGCTACAAGTATGACTACTGTTACTTGTAGCGACACACTCTTAAGAGAAAATAGAGGAAATGAGAGCATAGGATGCTATGAATAGGTAAAGGGGCGTTATAAAGAGGAGTCGAAAGAAAGAGACTCAGCACTAGGTGCGAGGAATAATGTCACAACTGCTAAACAGAAAAATGGTCAAGTGAATTGCATTCATTTGTCACTTTGATAAGTTCTAAAACCGTACTACAGATGATGCATATTACTGACGATGCCAAATATGATGACAAACTTTACAAAACGTTTATTTGGTAACAATCTATTATACTAATTAAAGCCAGTATAAAATTATATCTAAGAATAGGTTATTATGAAAATCTATCATTTATGGAGAAATTTCACAATCTGAGTGCGAATTTATAACACGAGACTGATAGTCTTGAGAACCTGTTTTTAGAAAGCCAAAATAAGTGATGTAATAGATTGCTATAGCAAATACAGCTTTGTTTAGTCCACAATTCCACCACATGATATGATATGGAAAAATGTCTTGCCTTTCTTGAAATCCACATTTGCCCTGTGGACTAAGTATACTCGTGGCAGTGTGGCGTAATGATTAACGTGCCGAGATTATAAGCTATACTTTCATGGTTTGAGTCCAGTTGGGAGTGCGGATGAGACTTAGGCGAGGTCGAAATTGCATTCCACTCTATATGAAAATACCTTTTTGGAAAACAAGGTTATGTGGAATTCAATGGAGACATGAGGGGGAAAACTCGGGAAAATGCAACTACCAGTCATTTATCACCTTGAACGAAATAGTTGAATATATTTCATACTAATATTATTTACTGAAAATTCTTTATTTGCATATCTACTACTTGAGAAAGCTAGCTATTGTTGCAGAGCAAATACGAGGATGCCATTTAAATGCATAGTTAACAGAAATGGAGAATTCTGATACGTCAGTGCATATAACTTCCCCTCTAATAGTTTCTAATTAATACGCTCTTGATATAAAGTTGTGGCAATTGAAAAAATATAATATCCCATAATGACAAGTATGTCCATGACACGCTTGTAAGATACTCTGTCAGATTACTTACTGGTCAGGAAAACAGAACTATACTCCCGCTACGTATAGGCAAAGGTATTTTTTGAAATCGCAAAAATAATAAAACGTTCGAATAATGAAATTTAATTCGCTAGTGAGCCCAAATCAAAGGACCAAGGGTTCCTCAGGTCATGCTACTAGCACGCTGTTATAATAGTTTGGTTAAATAACCATTCTCCGTTAAGTCAGCAAGGACGACAGCATACCTTGATTATGCCATTTTTATCCTTAGGAAATACAAGGGCGAATTAATTCACATAGCATTTAATTGCATTAAGAAATACTCATAGGAGGTATTCTTAACGATAAAGTCAATTTTTACAGCGAAGTTTTAAGGGTAATTGCTATCCTGACAGGTTTAACAAATATAGCAAGGCCAATGAAGGAGAGAAAAATATCATTTCAAATAAGAACTTGCTTTTGATATATTGGCCCTTACTCGTATTAAAACAGCACTTTCAAACACGTATCCTTTTGTAAAACTACTGTTACTGCCGAATTCAACTTGGATTTCCCTACTCTCGATTAAGGAGTTTATATTTATCCTATCGCCCACTCTGTCACCATCTCCCAATCTGTAGTATATGTGCCAAATGCAATAGGGAGTAAAACGCTCAAATTTAGCATAAATGCTGGATAATACATTCAAGAGTGGCTGATGAACGCGAAGAAGAAACAAACTATACTTGAGATTTCATAATACCTTATAGAAAAAAACGCTTTCAAACCTTAGCCATTCTAAATAGCCTTATCTTCCCCAAGTTCCAATGGCTGTCGCCGTTCCGCTATAAGATAGGATAGAGCTTTTTTTACTGCATTGCAATCTTGCATTTTGCACTTTGTTTAATAATCCAATCAATCTTATAGACTCGACGTTGTATAATAAGCCCAAACTGCCTCTTTATTACTGGCTATTCCATTTTTATAAGTATAGCTAGTAAATGGCAGGCATGAAGTAAATTATTCTTTGTAAAATAGATGAAATAACAAGAATTCTTTATAGTGACGTCTTGTTTTAAACACTACAGATAATATAAAATCTCATAAACGAAATATTCACGTGCTTCATTGTATAAATTTCATATAATAAATGATCATATTTAAATATCTTTCAAATGTAATTAAAACGAAAGTTTTTGAGAACCTCTTTAGCCATGGGTTTCAGCCTGTCATTGGCACTGAAGAGCCCTGCTATTGGTGTGTTTGACTGATTATTTGAAATCTATCTACTATTTTAGTAGTTGTAACAGAAGATTAGGAATTTGAAACAATTTTAGATGGATGCCTTATATACCCTCTAAAATTAAGCTCTTTGATGAAACCTAACTTCTTTATTTTGTAAGCTACCAGCGAACTCAAACTCCAAACTGTCCTCCAATTAAAATAGCTGCCGAATTTTGGCAATTCGTCAACTTTACAATTATAAAAATATTTTTTAATTCTTTGTATAGGAAACGTTTCGAGGTGTACGAGGGCAGCGAGGTGCAACCGGCATTACTGGCCATGACGGCTTGGTTGGCGACCGAGGATCCAAAGGAGAATCTGGACCCCAAGGCGATATGGGTATGCAAGGCGCACGTGGAAGACCCGGTCCAATGGGTAGAGCCGGACCAAGAGTAAGTCGATCACAAATAGCTTATGAAGCGCATGTATATCAAGAAGTTGCTCATTCATTCAAGTAAGGTTTAATGTTTTATAAATATAGGCGCCATGATAGGCTGAAAAGTGGCGTTTAGTGATTCAATAAACTTAGGCCTTTGAATTATTGGATCTTCTTCAGGTAAAGTGAATTTATTCTTCGTGAATGTGTGCCTATATCGATTCTTAAGTTAAGTGCAAAATTGTTGTGTTGAAGCAAATTGAAGGCTAACTTTAGCAATTGACACAATTTATTTAAGATATTTCCAACTTTCTAGGCAGGAAAGAGCCTTCCACATTTTTAGATAAATTATATGAATCAATTGGCGCAAACTAATTAGATAAACATTTAGAATCTCTACCTAGATTGCGCTACTACAGGCATGTGATCTTATCACATTTATCACATTTCTCTGAAGTAAA